CCCCCCCCCCCCCCCGGCATTGCTCCAGGCCCCCCCAGGGGGGCACGCCCCACTATTTGAGAAGGACTGCTTTAAGGTTACATCTGAGGTCGTCCATGAAGTAAATCAGTAAAGGAACTGACAGACACTTTCTAGACAGGATGGAAAACGACTTTGACCACAAATAGATAAATTAGCTACAAAATCCAATAAGCATTGCTATTTAAGTAAAAATGTATGAGCTGTTTTTTTTTTGTTTTGTAAATAAGACTGACTAAACAAGAATGTATCCATCCAGCCATTATCTTTACCCACTTCTTCCTTTTTGGGTCACGGGGGGATCACTGGTGCCCATGTCCAGCAGTCACTGTGCAAGAGGCTGGGTAGACCCTGAACAGGTCTCCAGTCCATCACAGGGACACATTGTGGGGGAGTGGTGGCGCAGAGGTTAGAAGATGGGCCTGTGATCGGAAAGTCGCAGGTTCAACTCCCGGGACCGTCAACATCAAAATGTGGGTGGAAAGGGTGAAACACCCACACCTGCCTCCACCCTCATTCGCCCCACTCTGGGCCCCTGAGCAAGGCCCTTAACCCCCACCATCTGCTCCCTAAACAGGTCTCTCTTGAAAATGAGTTCTCATGACTCAATGAGACTACCTGGATAAATAAAGGGTAAATTAAAATAAAAAAATTAAAAAAACAGAGAGACAAACAACCATTCACTCTCTCACTCACATCTAGGGACAATTTAGAGTTACCAGTCAGTCTAACATGCATTTTTTTGGTCTGTGGGAGGAAACCAGATTACCTGGAGAAAACCCACGCATACACGGAGAGAACATGCAAACTCCACCCGGAAAGACCCCCGGCCGAGATTTGATCTGGCGACCTTCTTGCTGAGAGGTGGCAGCTCTACAAACTGTACCACCGTGCTGCCTGAATCAGAATTCATAATCAAGTGAAAATGTTTTAGCTTATTCAGAACATAAACAACATATGGAGTAACCTAACAGAGTTTTAAACAATGTTCAGTCAGTTCATCTGGACAGTTCCTTTTGTTGCTGAGACATTTCGTCCTTCATCCGAAAGACTTCTTCAGTCTGAGGAGCCACCAAACCAAACTGAATCCCACAAACAGCTCTCCCAGAGTGGAAGAAAAACAGTTTGCTGGTGATAAGATGGCCTCCGTGGCCCGCCCTCTCCCCCATCAACTCCTCTAAGGCAGCCTTGCTTTTCGGATGAAGGACAGAACGTCTCAGCAACAAAATAAACTGTCCAGATGAACTGACTGAACATTGTTGGATTTATACCTGGATTAATGAGCATGAACTTTGGTGTTAGAGTTTTTTTTTTTTTTTTTTTTGTCCTTTAGGCGTGCAGCTTGTTTGTGAAAAGGGGTTCAAATATTGATACAGCTACATCAGATTTCCATTTTTCCCCATCACAGCCATTTTTTTCTACACAATCACAACATAACAAGAAGCAAGGTATTGTTTCACCCCACTGGGTTTTACACCTTTCAAACCAGTGAGTCCCAAATTCCACCATAATGGAGCTGGTCAGTTTGAACCTGTGTCAGCATCTCCAGAGACCGTTGTCAGCATGTACAGCTGACACTTGAAATCAGCACAAAAACCACTTTGACAGAAGCCAGTGGTAATCCTGAGCACCCTGCTCTTCTCACTGTTACCTGCTCACCCTTCTTCTACACATTTCTTGTCCATCTCCCACTCCATCCCCAACTTTTCCTGACAAGGATGGAGATCAAAGAACTGTGTGAGTTTAAGGCTTCTCTGTCTTGACGCAATCTCATCAAAGTAAATTTTACCATGCCAGTGACAGCCTTCAAGTTGATTTTATGTCATATTCATTTTGAATGTTTTCTGAACATTCCTGCAGACAGAAGTCAAACTCTGATCTGTCGGCTAACTGTGTTTCTGTTAAACTCCTACAAAGCTGTTTGCTTAACTGGGCATGAAATCAGGTCCCTTCCCCTTAATTATTCATACCGTCACAGTATTTTCACTTCAGAACAGATTTCAGTCAGGCTCAGACTGGTGTTGGAATCTATCTTGACACACCATTCATAGTTATCTTCTGACAAAAATCAGGCTTGGGCTCTGTCTTGAATGCAACATGTTGTAAAAGTGTGTTAAAAACCCAAGAATGTCTGTATGCAGCCTGCAACTCTCAATGCTTTTCAGAATTTGCAATTTAAAAAAACGTCTTCATGTATATAAAGTATATATGCATTTTCGTTCAGATGCTCCCTTCTGCAGAGGATGCAACCATTACAAAGTTTGCATGAAAGAGTTGGCAATTGTTTTACGACAGATGCCCTTCTTGACTCAAATTGGGCTTGAGTTTGCAGTCCAAGGATAACAAAATAAACAAACTACCTCAGCCCCTAGGAAAAAAAACTATCATTAGATATTAAATCTAAAATGTATGATAAAAGACTCTTATATACTAGTATAACAAATGCAAGCATAGCTGAGGGCCAGCTACTCACCAAGTATTCACGATTGTTTTAGAACAAATATCATTAATTACTGCATGTTGCCAAAAGTGAAAGGTCAAACAAAAATGACCATAACTTAGACAATCTTGAAGGTATTAAAGTAATATTTAGTGTGTTCAGATCTGAGAGTCATTCTGAACACATACCTGGAGCACTAACGGATAATGCAAGATTTGTTTTTAATCATTGTCATTAAATATCTTATCTTAAGGGGACAGAGATGTTTGTGAAGCTTTGGTTTCGTACTAGTTTGAGGGAGCGGTCTACTATAATTCAGGGAA